CATTAAAAAAATCAGCCAGTTAAAAAGTGATATACAATCCTGTCGATGTAAAAGTTTCAGTCTCAAAGCTGTAAGTGTCAGCTCTGGTAGGGGGGGTCCGAAACCCCCGGACCCCCCCCCCTGGATTCCACCACTGTGAAGCATCTAGGAGTATTTCTACTCTCCCCAGATGGGATGCCAGTCCATGGCAGGGTAACTCCCAGCATTAAAATTGCCACTACCCATCTCTACTCCTGGGTAAAGAGAGGCACTGTGAGAGTAAAGTGTCTTGCTCAACAACACAACACAATGTCCCTGGCCAGTGCTTGAACCCGGAAAACTCGATCTGGAGTCAAGCGCACTAGAGGGTTCCTGCCCTCCTTGAAAGTCCTTGATATTAATTTCTTGTTTTCACGGACTTGAAAACCCTTGAATTTAGATTCAGGTCCTTGAAAATTTCTTAAAGTCCTTGAAAATAAGTGCAGATGAATCAAAGTTGAAGTTTTCTTTTGTTTTCAGCATTGAAACTGTAAGTTTCTAGCATTTGTTAAAACAAGTTTTCTTTTCAAATCCCGTGTCCGATTATGATGTTTGACATGTGATTTATATATATTTTGTACCTGATTGTTGCATTGAAAATAATCTTGGTTACCTAGCATGTGATCACTCTGATGTGCATGCTTGAAGTCACACTCATTGATTTTTTCGGCCGGTCTGGCATGCACGACTGTGTTAATGAAAAAGTTCCTTGAATTTGAGAGCCGAGATCCTTGAAATTGACCTGAAAAGTCCTTGAATTGGGTTCCTGAAAAAGTGCAAGAATCCTGGCACTAACCATGAGGGCACCATACCTTCTGTGAACTTGTGGGTTTACTGCAAATAGACTAAATAAAGTACACACAGCTTCGCATTCAATCATGTTGAATTTATCATTAAGAAGCGTGCTTCAACAATGATGAATCTGTCCTTTGCCTTGAGTTTTAAATGTCTAGGCATTTTGCTCTTACAAGTTCACACAGTTTTACAATGTCATTCAATAATTTAGATCTAGCTTCTTTGATAGTATTGAGGGAGGCTTTGGGATTTTCGGTTTTGTGGTTTTGACTGTTTTGTGGATCGGTTTTTGGGCCAAAAAGGTTTGGGTTTTCGGTTTTGATGTTCACAGTGGTTTGTGGATTTTACTTGTTTTGGCATTTGGTTTTCGGTTTTCACGAAAACTCTGGTGCGGTTTTCAGTTTTTCCTTTTTGACCCCTTCAAAGGTGGAAATGTAGCAGTTTTGTCAGGTTTGCTTGCGGTTTTCAGTTTTGCTGCCTCTTTTTGTTGTTTTTTTCTGTTTTGGAGGTTAGTTTCTCTGGTTTTGTGGTTTCCAAGAGGCCTCAATGCCCGCCTCAGTATTCTATGATTGTTTCTGCAGGAAAAATGATCCTCCCCTGTCGTGCATTACACAGAACAGCTTTACTGTTGGTGATATAGGTAATTTGAAATTCTGCATTTCTGTAGTTGAAGTCTAATAAGGCTTTTTTAGATGTGCCCAGAACAAAAATGACATCTTTTTCTGAATGAAAATTTAAGCTGAGTCAGTATTAGACAGCATCTCATGGTGGTTTAATTGTTTTAAGTTTCAATCACACTGTTCCAAAACATCGTCACATGGCTCCCCTACAAAGTCACATGGTTCCACTAACACTTTCATTTGCCACACACATTGAAGTTATACGTGATATGCTTACCTGTACTCCATGCACATTATCTGTCATTTATTTACAGTAACAGCATATTTCATGGCCCGAAAACACATTGTAACTGTATGTAGATGAATTTGTTGATCATTATAATGCACCAGAAGACATTCACAACACTCTTGAGTCTCTGATGAAGTAAGACTTTTACAAGCAAAATCCATCCTCTATCTGGGCAAGAAAGTTTGTACTTTTAGAATTGGAACAATGTCACTTCATAGTGGAATGATGTGGCGATATTTTGGATTGATCTGACAGAAACTTGGAACAAACTGACTTAGGATGAAACTACCATGGAATGAGATGACTGTAATCTAGTGACCATAAGGATTTGCTGCGTAATAAAAATGTTGCGTTTTGTTTTCTATTATCCCCAAAGAACAACTACTTGAAGAAACGGATTTCAAGGGATTTCCTGTTATTGTAGACAGAGAATCTCAAAGACTTGCAGGGTTTGTCTTAAGAAGAGATTTGAACATTGCCATCAGTAAGTGTGCATCGATCACTACCTCATTGCATAATATTTTTGCTTCCTATTTGCTTTTTCTAAAAAGGAAAAAACCTCAATTTCAAAATGAGGCTGAGCTTATGCCACTCTTTAATAGGTCATGCACGGGCTCGTGATGAAGAGGTGGTGTCAGCGTCATCAGTCTACTTCTTACCACACCCTCCACGGTACCCCCCTCCTGGTCAACCACCTGCTTTGAGTCTCCGACATATTGTTGATAAGGTGAGAAATTGCATATCTTATTGTTATCAATGGTTTTTGCCTTGATGTGCTGCAATTTAGGTATGGATTTTTGTTTTCTGTTTTCTTGGTGCAATTTAGAGCCCAATACAGATAACTGATGCTATGCCTATGGAAACAGTGGTAGAGATGTTTCGCAGACTGGGGCTGAGACAAACACTTGTAACACATAATGGGTAAGTGTATAACACAGTGGACCCAATCTGGCATGTGATTTCAAATTTATAGTTGCTAGCAACAGACAATTCAAGTCGTGACGACACACAGGGGATCCCAACCTGGTATTTGACCTTGAAGTTTAACTACTATTTACCACAAATACAGACATGGCAGGGCTCAAAATTAACCGTAACCCATTAACCAATGGTTAGTAATTTTCAATGTTTGGTTACTAAAAATGTGTCCAACTAACCCGACATGGTTAGTAAAATTTTCTAATATATTTAAACATTGATAGACCTCAGGACAAAGAGCACATAGACCCGACTCTCAGAGGAATACTTAGAATACTCAAGTTGTTTAATCAATTTAAACTCTTTTTAGAGAATGTGCTGTAGATGTACTGTTCTTGACTAATCA